AGACGGACAAACAACAGACATACGCACAACATGCAAAATATATTAAAACTTTATTCTTCATCATCTGTTGTGATATCAAACGGAACGAAATGTTATAAAACAAGAATATGATGAAATGATGATGATGTTACACAAAGCCAAAAACACGAGAGTGATGACAACCGAGAGAGGGACGCTGACAGAAGGGTATATAAGCTCTCACCAACACATCTCTTTATACAGTTCGTGACAGAACTTGATCCTGACAACACCAATATGGTAAGACTTAGCATGGCCTCTATCAACTACTAGTATAACCGACGCCTCTTGTTACCCGGCTAAAGATACCCGTGTCAAGACTCTACCTTAAACGAAATAGTATTGTTATGCTTAGATACAGTACTCACGAAACATAGTACAGTTTTACCTTAAAGTGACAATAAATATGCTTAGTGAGTTTGTTGTAGATTCCTATTACCAATATAATACATATTATGAACATTCCAAAATGTAGTTTACTTGTGTTAGTACACCCAACGTCGCTGTGTTACTACGACGGAAATCAAAAGTTAATCAGAATTACAAAAGTAAATTATTTAATTTTTATCCTAACAACACCAAAGTTCTCCCTGCTCATCAAAACTTATGTTCGGTCTTTGACAGGAAATTAGAAACAATGGAAGGAATAGTTGTATGTAGGGAATCAGGAGGAATCGTGAACGTAGTGTCAGATTGAATGTCTGTGCAGGCGGTACTTGCTCTTTCCATTGCTTTACTATATTTAATTAATGATCTCAGGAATGACTGACAACAAGACTAATATATTACATACGTGAACCTTCTAATGTAACACACACTACTACTACTACTACTTGTTTTTTTTTTTTTTTTTTTTTAAACGTGGCCTCCAGCCTCCCCCAATAGCCACACCTTCGCCACCATTTATTTACCTTAATATTAAATATCCTAATACATAAGAAGCTATTCTATCTGTGTTAAATTAGTTGAGCCGCAGATCTATGCGGCATTCAGTGACTGTAGCCTCATAGTCAATATCTGCAGCAGTTGTCGGAGTAGGGGCAGAAGCTCTCGTTCCCCTGAGGCAGAGCAAAGCCGACCGAAGGAGAGAAGGACAGTCGACATCTCATCCAGGCTGTGACATAACTTCTGGGCTGCTGCTTCTGTTCGGAGATCAGCTCCGCGAGTCTGGCGTAGAAACATCTTGCACTTGGGCCCATCCCACCAGAGGTTGTGAACACTAGAGGAGTGAAGCTGCCTTGATCAACATTTTGAATTCTCTCCCCATAAGCCCTTCTCTTGTCGTTCTCGTTCCTCCTATGCGCAGCATCGAGAGCTAGGTTACGGTGACAAACGGCCATGGGATCAAAAATCCTGATGTCGAAGAAAGCTCGCTGTCCCCGCGTCCAGAATCTTCGGCACTGACGTCCACCACGGGCTAAGTTAGATGTGTTTGAAGTCCTGTGATTTGGGAGGATCCTCGCCATCCAGAGTGGAAGGAGGTCCGGGATACCATGACGTCCCGGCAGATTTCCTTCAACATATTTGCTGTGAGATCCCTAACCTCGTCATGCCTCATGCATATGAAGCCCCCCTTCTTGCAAACCATGGCGTGGTCACCATCATAGGAATAGCCACACACGCATTGGGAGGGCAAACCATCTACTGGCAAACCGTACCTTAGAGCAATGGCATCTGTAAATTCTTGTTTGTTAAGGCTGAAACCATTTGCCCTTATCGGTAACGTAGTTAACCAGTTCGAGGCGCCCACCTCCTGCGCTATAGCTACTTTTTTGTCAAATTTTTAGAACCCTGCACCAGCGATTTGCTGCAACATGTCATTTGGCGATGCTGCCGATCTGTTGTAATGGACCTGGATCTTAATGCTTCGCTGAGTGTCCACTTCCCTGTTTGCATTCTGGAGTAATATACTTTGGTCAGTGGGGGTACCGTGAGCTTAAGTGAATTTTGATGTTCAGGTCAGCAATCTCCTCTGGATTAGTTAGTCCCATCCCCTCCCAGTCTTGGTGGAAGTGCAAAAGTATTCTTTTCTACTAGGGTTAGTCGTGGTGTTTCACTAGTTTGGGAATGAACTTGACACTGATTGCTTCTTCCAAAGGGTGGAGGAGAGGTCGGATCTCGGGGATGGTACGCATCAGGTAGTTCCAACGATGCTTGACTCCATGTGTGAATGCTGCAAAGGCCGCATGTGGCTCTGTGTTAGCAATCTCCGATAGAGCATGGATTTCGCTAACCCACTCATTCACTTTTCCCCCTACGTACTGGGTCTTGAAGTCCGTAGTGCCAATTACTGCGCCTAGATGTCTTTGGCCATCCTTAGTTATTTTCACCTCACTTTCGCCGAAAACCTCCACAGCCCGATCATAATGATCTGGCTTCACGATGAGGAAGGATTTGCTGGCGTTAGGGTGGTACCCTATATGTGGACCTCGCGATGTTACCAGGTCCCACCACTTTTTGATGTCCTCCACTTTTCCTGCTCCTGTGAGGTCATCAGCATATGCCACTTGTTTGACCCCAGTTGTTTCATACTTTATTTCTTGTTGGAGCACTGATATAGGCCTTTTGCATACATTGCCATTGCAGCAGGGGTCCCCTGTGTTGTTCCTCGGTCGACTGTGGGGATGGTGTATCACCTCGTAAGTATCTTATTTATTTTACTATGTAGAGGTCTGAGATTCCTATACGAATTTTCAACATACATCACAAAGCTAGGACACTTGATCTTGATGTTGTGCAGTGCCGCTGCGGTTAAGTATGTTGAATGCGTTTGGAAGCATCCACCAGAGAACAGCCTCCTGATACGCTCTCAAAATATCAATCTCATGGCGAATGGCCGCCTCCACCAGCCTGGTGGCCGCTTACTTGTAGGTTCCCTGCTGCCCTGACATCATCGCTACCACCTCCATTATACACTTTCGATGATCCGCCTCAGCACTTCCCCCCACCCTATAGGCCTACATCCTGGTTTCTTTTCCAGAGGAATAAGGCGGCAGGCCGTCAGGGCCTGGAGGTGATGGCAGGAAGAGGATGCAAGCTTTCTTGCAAGGGCGGCAATGGCAGTGCAGAGATCGCTTGCTATAGGGCCAAACTTGTTTGTGCTGAGGATGACTCTCCAACCGTTTGCATCCAGACCTGAAGGGCCGGCTCCTCCTCGAGTCTTCAGTGCCTTTTTCCACACCATCTCTCCTTTCATTTTCTCGAACAGGACAGCGTTTGGTGGGATATAGACACCCTCGAACCTGATGCCTTCTTCGTTGCTTGCAGGGGGATGTTTCTCTTTCAGTAGTTTTAATGTCTCTCTGTTTATTGGCATCACCCCACCGGAGGATTCCTCTGTGAGAGATCTTACCGCCAGAGACACTTTTCCCACACGCATTTTGTTTCCAAATTTTCTTGCCACGTCATCAGTGTTTTGCTTTCCGTCACCCGTAATTTTTAGTCTCTCCTGCAGTGTTCTTGCTTCACATAGGAGATCATCAAGGGCCCCAGTCTGCCACATTGCCAATTTTCTCTTCATTGCTGCCACATTTTCTTTGTGCTTAGTCTTTGTGTGTGTCCTCTGACAAAATAGATGTGGTATTATTGCCAGTATTTGAAGAGCTAAAGGGGCGAGGAAGCGGTCCTGAGTGTAATCAGTCGTGAGGCGAGTCATCTCCCGAATCATTTTTTTGGTGGCCGCACACTTGGGTGGTTCAAATAAGTTAGCGGGCGACCACTTGACAATTTCTGAGTAGGTTTCTTTGACCCACATGTCTGCATTTTCCATCGACATGCCATTCCACTGAGGTGGCTGTCTCTCATTCTCCTCGTGGACATCTGCTACTAATGGAGCAGCATTTATTAGTACTACATTTTCGGGTTGAGTAGACTCACTGCTATCATTTCGGATATCATCGGGTGGTTGGGTCCCGGCGATATCCACTGTGGCCACCTGTGTCGGCTCCCTGCCACGTGAGTTCCGACACTGGTCTCGCTTCTTGCAATCCACACATGGTCGGTTGTTTCTCGCACAAACCCAATTTGTGCAGTTTTGGGTCGGGCTAGAACAGACGCAGCAATGAATGTTACCAGGCATAGTGAACAGCACCTTGGGCGACAGATACTTCCGCCTCCGACCTCTGCTATTGGACCCATACGAACGAAGAAACTTGATCTTATGAGTATGGGGCACAGAGGTGACGGTCTGGCCTGCGGTGTCCGAGTAGTAGGGGCATACGAGCGCACGTGGTTGTTTCGGGCACCCCCCATGTGGGCGACAATCCACACATGAGAATAATCCACTGGGAGCAAGAATTATCACACCTAACACTTGTTTATGTAACCTTGGCAGAGATAACCACTATTTCTATGGTCTCACTGATATAATATTAGTTATATATACTCACTTGGTCAGCCGACACTACATGAAGTGGCCGTTAGCGAAGACACTTGGCCCCCGCATAGGGGCGAGAGTCGCGATGCCACCTTGCTGAGGCCAGGCCTATCGATACCACTGGCACTGACGCCCGGCAACTCTCACGGCCACCATTCCAAGCCTCACAGGCTTACTTGAAGATCGCCGTTATGGTGGAGGTGGTGGTGGTACAGGTAGAGGAGGCGACGGAGGAGGCGGCGGCGGTGGCGGCGGTCGTGGCTATGGCGGTGGTGGACGTGGAGGCGGCGGCGGCTTTGGCGGCGGTGGACGTGGAGGTGTTGGCGGAGGTGGCAGCAGCTATGGTGGGGGTGGTGGAGGCAGTGGCGGCTTTGGCGGCGGTGGACGGGGTGGTGGCGGCGGCTATGGTGGTGGTGGACGCGGTGGTGGTGGTGGTGGACGCGGTGGTGGCGGCGGCGGTGGCTATGGTGGGAAATAAATTAGGATGAATGAAGACGTAATTTTTGAACGTAGGAAACTTACGTAATATGTAAAGTAATTTACGTTTAACTCTCTGTGTTGTCTTGTACTGACACAGAACCACAGGTCTTGAAAAAATTCCCTGAAAACATACGACTGTTTTACTTGTGTCTGACATCACTTTCGGAAATATACTATATTATTTTTTTTTGTATTTTCCTTAATATCCTCTTTCGCTGTGACAAATATCATAAGAAACTATTTTGATACAAGGTAGTAGGTACCAGAGAGTTAAGAAACAGAGAGGTACTACCGCCTGGGAAGATATTTGAAGCTTAATGTATTGTCTAATGGTAGACGCTGCTGCCATATGGCAGCTCAAAAAAATATGACCAGGTCCAAGGTGGCTCATTTGAATTTCTGCCTCATTTACACACAATTGCAGGATCTTAATTGTTTGTTTTTTCTCCCTCTTGGTATGTTTTATTTTCGCTATTCTCTTATTCTCCAATGATATCAGTTGACAATAATATTAAAGTGGGGTCTTCCCGGACGGGCCCACTGGTCGGGAAGGTTGTAGACCCATGGGCAGACCTGACAATCATCAAACTACTGAGGCCTCAAATGACGTCACCGCAGTTGCTGGAGGATCGATTTTTTTTTCACACTTCATTTTTCCAATATTAGTGGCCGATTATCCATTTTCACTTGTGTGGAGCACCATTTATTAACCTCTTCCCCAATCTCTTATTACTTTCTGAACTTCAATTGACCAAAGCAGCTTCACACAAACATTTCCAAGTCTCCAACTACAACCTTTATACCTATTTCCGTTCTAAAGGAGGTGTATGTGCCTAGTGCAACACACATACACTTTGCAAATTAGACGATCTCTCTACCAATTACATTTCAGGACGCTATCATCCTCCCAAATTCTGAAATAAATATGTTAGGCCTCACCATTTCCTCCAATATGTCCTGGAAATCACACATCCTTAGTATAACTAAAGCTGCCTCCCGAAAGTTGGGAATGCTGTACAGATGCCGCAGCTACTTTACTCCTGAGCAGTTGCTCCAAGTATATAAGGGATTCATTCGTCCTTCCTTGGAGTACTGCTCTCATATCTGGGGTGGCTCTTCTTCTGTCCAACTATTATATAGGGTGGAATCAAAGGCATTTCGTCTTATTAACTCTCCTCCTTTAGTCAACAATCTCTCTTCCATTTCTCTTCGTTACTTTAACGGGCAATGTTCGGTGGATTTGGCATCCTGTGTACCGCCGGCAAGGCCGTGGGTTCGTAACACACGTCTTGCCCGTGGTGCCCACCGTTTCTCTGTGGATGTCGGTCACACGAGAAGAACCCGTTTTAGTACCTCCTTCTTTCCTCACACAGCTAAACTGTTGAATGCTATGCCTTCTTCTGTGTTTCCATGCTCTTACAAACTGTCTCACTTTAAAAAGCTGGTTTTCCGGCATCTTTGTGGAGTAGATTAATACAGTATAACCTTTTTTGTCTTTATCTACAATTTCTTTCCGGGTTTTTTCGCCCCCCAGGCTCCACTGTGGGTCGTTTGAGCTGTGCCCGGGTGGGCTAATTCCCGTAAAAAAAAAAAAAATACACCTACAGTATAGCCCGAGTCATCGATCTTGAATCATCTCTTAATGATGTCATCTGGCTCAAAATATCTCTCCCAACTCTGGCTGTTTTCTTTGTTTCCGATACTTTTCTCCAACTTTACCAACAATTTGAAAATCTTTGATTATCTCACATCTCATCATGATTCGTTGAGATCCACACACCCCAACACCGAGATCCACTAATTAAGTAGTATAATCTCTCTCTGGTGTTTTGAGAAATGGTATATTCTAACAAAACTTTCACTTTACAATCATGGTTTGATCACTCCTGTTCTCTTGAATGTAAGGAGAGAGATAGGGTGTATCAAGTTATGAAACTATCTCCTCCTGCTACTCACTCCACTTTCATTACTTCTAGGAATCGTTGAAAGGCTATTCTTCGTAGGGCCTAGCGAAATTGTATAAAAAGAAATACTGCTGACCTGACTAACTCTTCTTTTAGTAAATCCTTCAGTTCCTTAACCAAAATCATCTGTAATAACGTCGGCACTCCATACTTTCGTCCTCTTTTCTGACCTCATAACTCTATAGCCAACTCTCTCTCCGATAAAGCCAATCTCTTTGGCACCTTGTTTTCCTCTAACTTCGTCTTACATGATTCCAACTCGCTCCTATCTCCGACTGACTTATACACTTTCCTACGCCGTCTCCATCTCCAGTTTAATGGCGCTTGGACCGGAATGAATGCCCCCTCGTATTGCGAAGGAGTGTGCTGAAGTTTTGGCCTTTGATTCATAATATTATGGTATAAAGCATAATTTCCTTTTGTGGTTCCATTATGATAAATATTCTAAGTCATCCGTTCATTGAATACGTATAAGGATAATTTATATGTTTCTATATGGGTGAAAAGATTGATAATCAAACTTCAAAAGGCAATTGGTACCATAATCACATTAGAGATAAAATTAAATAGATTAATATTAAAAGAAATTAGTAAGACTCATTACAAGAATGACTATTTTGTTTATTGAACCTGAATCAATTTTGCTTGAGGTGCCATCCAGAAACTTAGAAATTTCAGGTTGGCAGATTGATAGTGGGGTTTGAATCCAAGATAAAAAAATAAATCGATTCCATAGAAAATATAGAATATGGCCTCAGAGTTTCACATCAAATTTTCAATTTTACTTAAAATTTCATCACAGCTGCTTCTGAATATTGTGATTCGGGGCCTATGGTGATAAAGGATATCAATCTTTATGGTAGTCTTGTTAATTTTTATGATATAATTACTGTATATTTCAATATATTCCTGTAAAACAAATTTAAAACATTAACATAATTACTAATACTTCTTAATAATAATAATAATAATAATATTAATATTAATGATAATAATAATAATAATACAATAATATTACAGTATTATCATTATTATTATTAATAACCCTGAGAATTATTTGACGTAACAGTTATAAACAATCATAGTACAGTAACTAAATAGCAAGATAACAAACATATATTCCTTAAATACTTTTATTTTCTTACCATTCACATGTCCAATCCATCATTGATATAATTAACGATAAATGGTGAATATATTTTTTTGATTATCATGACAGGTGGATGTGTGTGTTTCCTCGTCTACTTGTGTGGGTATACATGAGTATGTTAATGCATATATGTATATATGCCCGAGCGTGCTTGCGTATAATAAAATATAAAGCAAGTTAGTGGTACTGAACGTTCAATGTACTACACCACCCCGTACTTAGCGCGAGATCTGGTAACGGAAGGGGGAGTTAAGACCACATGAGTAAAATTTAAAATAAAACACATTTTTATGTCAGCACCCTATGACAGTTATATTAACTACTTTTAATTTCCTAGCTCAAAAAATGAGATATCAGATAGACAATTAAAACAAAATGAAATATATGTCAAACACACAGACGGACAAACAACAGACATACGCACAACATTCAAAATATATTAAAACTTTATTCTTCATCATCTGTTGTGATATCAAACGGAACGAAATGATATAAAACAAGAATATGATGAAATGATGATGATGTTACACAAAGCCAAAAACACGAGAGTGATGACAACCGAGAGAGGGACGCTGACAGAAGGGTATATAAGCTCTCACCAACACATCTCTTTATACAGTTCGTGACAGAACTTGATCCTGACAACAACAATATGGTAAGACTTAGCATGGCCTCTATCAACTACTAGTATAACCGACGCCTCTTGTTACCCGGCTAAAGATACCCGTGTCAAGACTCTACCCATAAAACAATGTATTGTTGTAGATACCTTAGTGATGACATAAATATATTAGGTTGTTGTAGATTCCTATTACCAATATAATACATATTATGAACATTCCAAAATGTAGTTTACTTGTGTTAGTACACCCAACGTCGCTGTGTTACTACGACGGAAATCAAAAGTTAATCAGAATTACAAAAGTAAATTATTTAATTTTTATCCTAACAACACCAAAGTTCTCCCTGCTCATCAAAACTTATGTTCGGTCTTTGACAGGAAATTAGAAACAATGGAAGGAATAGTTGTATGGAGGGAATCAGGAGGAATCGTGAACGTAGTGTCAGATTGTATGTCTGTGCAGGCGGTACTTGCTCTTTTCATTGCTTTACTATATTTAATTAATGATCTAAGGAATGACTGACAATAAGACTAATATATTACATACGTGAACCTTCTAATGTAACACACACTACTACTACTTCTAAATATAAGACAAAAGTCACTTCACTATAACTAAATCTCTAACATACGCTTCATGAGTTTCTTGGACAGCAAAATTTATTACAAATTGTTTTTGGGTTAATTGTGAATATTATTCTCTCAAGTAAAATGTTTTCGTTACCTTTGGCATTTGTTATATTTGTTTATATGACCAACTTCATAACTTGAAAAAGATCACAGCTGGACTGGTGTAGAAGTTCGAAATGTATAATCCACACATGATAATGATTATTAGCTAAGTTACTGGAGTAGTAAACTAACTAATAAGGAACTCATGTTTTGGTGACCATATACAGATCAATTCCTGGTACAGTCAATTAATATGTAATTTAATTTTGGAACATTTCAGAGGTTGGTGTTTGTGTTCTTGGGCGTCGTCCTCACTTCGCGAGCCACCAGCACCAGAATGGTGGCCCTGGTGGAGGCAGGTGGGCGATTGGAGGCGGCGGCGGTGGCGGCAGTCGTGGCTATGGCGGTGGTGGACGTGGGGGCGGCGGCGGCTTTGGCGGCGGTGGACGTGGAGGTGGTGGCGGAGGTGGCAGCAGCTATGGTGGGGGTGGTGGAGGCAGTGGCGGCTTTGGCGGCGGTGGACGGGGTGGTGGCGGCGGCTATGGTGGTGGTGGACGCGGTGGTGGTGGTGGTGGTGGACGCGGTGGTGGCGGCGGCGGTGGCTATGGTGGGAAATAAATTAGGATGAATGAAGACCTAATTTTTGAACGTAGGAAACTTACGTAATATGTAGAGTAATTTACGTTTAACTCTCTGTGTTGTCTTGTACTGACACAGAACCACAGGTCTTGAAAACATTCCCTGAAAACATACGACTGTTTTACTTGTGTCTGACATCACTTTTGGAAATATACTATATTATTATTTTTTGTATTTTCCTTAATACCCTCTTTCGCTGTGACTAATATCATAAGAAACTATTTTGATACAAGGTAGTAGGTACCAGAGAGTTAAGAAACAGAGAGGTACTACCGCCTGGGAAGATATTTGAAGCTTAATGTATTGTCTAATGGTAGACCCTGCTGCCATATGGCAGCTCAAAAAATATGACCAGGTCCAAGGTGGCTCATTTGAATTTCTGCCTCATTTACACACAATTGCAGGGTCTTAATTGTTTGTTTTTTCTCTCTCTTGGTATGTTTTATTTTCGCTATTCTCTTATTCTCCAATGATATCAGTTGACAATAATATTAAAGTGGGGTCTTCCCGGACGGGCCCACTGGTCGGGAAGGTTGTAGACCGATGGGCAGACCTGACAATCATCAAACTACTGAGGCCTCAAATGACGTCACCGCAGTTGCTGGAGGATCGATTTTTTTTTCACACTTCATTTTTCCAATATCAGTGGCCGATTATCCATTTTCACT